GATGATGAAATAAATTATAGAGTATCAGGTGAAGGAGTAGATTTAAAAAGGCTGCCTTGGACAGAACATCTATGATACTGAACTAACAGGATATTGTTCCAGAAAGGAATACTGTCTCTGTTTCTCAAGTCTTTTGAGTAACATTTTAAGAGGTATTTTGCTTTGTGTTAAGATGGAAAGTTAACTTGCATGAACGCAGCTGCTGACCTAACACTGAGGCAATAATGCCTGAAACTCACCAATTACCCATTCCCAGTATGGTATGCTGGTTCACAAGTTCTGATACTGTTTACTGAGGTACCACGTTAGATATCAAGCGAATCAGCATATTCATCTCACTCGATATTCAGACAAGATTCCTCTAATTTCTTAAATACCAAACCTAGAGGACACTGAAACTAATACTACATACTAATTTTCATCAGGAAAATGATAATTTTTAAAAAATTTTCAGAGCTTCAGTTGCTCACTTATTTGTCATTGAAATCTCAGTAGCTGAGGTTTATCCTTCTACTTATACTATGTTAATTTCAGATAGTATCTTTAGCTGAATTACAAGGTTGCATAAAATGGAAGTTATAATTTATACAGTTCCAAATTTTCACAAGATGAAAGCCAACAGAAAAAAATGTGATTGTTGATAGACTCAGTGCTCAATTTTCTACCCATTTAACACAAACTGTGAACACAGTTTAGACTACATAATGAATGGGCCATGCATTAGTTTAGTGATATATTTACTTCAATTGAACTACTTACAAATATTGAATTAATGGTTGTTTACTGGATACCTACTGATATAACCATTTCCACTGTAAATTTACAATATCTTCCAATACAACTTGAGAATATAACTCAACAACTTTCTTGTTTTGGAAATTTAAGAGTTAATAAGGGTATATGCCTGAAGTTTAGACAACCCAACGAGATTAGACTGGAAAAAGGGACAGCTTTTCAAAACTCATTTATATGCTCTTTATAATGGAAGCATGAATTAAAAAAAATAGTGAATACCATACTTTTTGCATTTATTTACCTGCAAATATCTGGTATGCTCATCTCAGGTTCAGACTTGCTGTCTATGTCCAGCCATTCTGTCTTCCTACTCCTCTGACTCCTGTTCCCTTCCCTCACTGTGGGTTCCTCCAGCACATATCAATCAAAACCGTTTCTGATTGAGAAATCCTTTACTAAAGATTCTCAATGCACCAGGCTTCTCTACTTTATTGTACTTACTTCATTTTATTATAAAAAATAAATAATCATATAGTGAATCATATGGCCTCAATACCTAGCCTCAATAATTAATAAACACTATATTCTTCTATTGACTTTCAACCCATTTATTTGAAAGATTGTGTATAAAATCCTGATACTGTAAAATTTAGGATAAAGCTCCTTATAAAGCATATATCATAATACTATAGTCACATCAGTGACAGTAATTTATTAATATTGCCCAATATCCAGATAATGCTCAGGGTTTTTTATTACTCAAGTTTTTCCTGTATTGGGAACTCAACCTAAAGGTTTCATGCTGAACTATATTCTCAAATTTTTCTATTTTTTTATTTTGAGACAGAGTCTTGCTAAGTAGTTTTAAGTTGCCTCGGCTGGGGTCAAACTGTCAATCTTCCTGCCTCAGTCTTCAGGAGTGCTGGGATTATAGGAGAGTAGTGCCACACAGTTTCATAATGCTTTCATAGTTGACTTGTTCCATAAAAATACAAACAAGGGTTACACTTGTATTTGGTTGGCATATCTACTAATCATGTTCTGATTTTAATTTATCTTTTCTTATACAATTTGTTAAAAGTACTGGATCACTTATGAAGTTTTCCACACTCAGAATTTGGCAGGTTCTATCCTTTTAGTGTAATTTACCATAGGCTTTTCTGTCCTATGGTCCCTGGAAAAGACAGTTACATCAATCGGCTTGCTAGATTAGATACTGGCAAATATGTAGTAGTGCACGTTGCTTTGTGTTTTCTACTCATAGTACTCAGAAACACACGACGTCTTGTCTTAGGTATACAATTTTGTGTTTATGACACTTTGTAGTATATTTCCCCATTAAACTATTAGCTTTACAGAGATAGACAATGTATTTATATTTGTTCAAGTTGTTTATTTTTTGTGTTTAGTATAGTGGTCAATAATGTTTTCATTTCTTAGATAAATGAGCTGGAAGGATGTAAATTTAGGTATGCCAAATATTTTTTAAATATCTGATTTTTTTTCCTGAGTTTTGGCAGTAGCTAACAACACTTTTTGTAAAAGTTTCACCATTAATTGTGTAAAGGATGGAATAATTCTGTTTCACCATTTGCTTCAAGAGCAAGGTACCAAAGTGAACAATGTGGTTTCCTTAAGAGTGATGATTCAGGGGGCTGGGGATTTAGCTCAGCGGCAAAGCGCCTGCCTGGCAAGCGCAAGGTCGTGAGTTCGGTTCCCGGTACTGGAGAAAAACCAAAAAAAAAAAAAAAAAAAAGAGTGATGATTCAGTATATATCAAACCCACATCAGGAACACCATAGTGAAAACTTAATTTAAGACTGCCAAATGTGGTGGTGCACACCTGTAATCCCAGTACTTGGGAGGCTGAGACAGAAGGATCCCCATGAGTTAGAGGCCAGCCTTGGACTACATAGTGAGTTCAAGGCTAACCTAACTGTATAACCACATTGAGTCTGGAACACAATAAGTAAACAATAAAAGTCATATAATATTAATATTATATTGTTATGAAATAATTTATATCTGTAATATGAGATTATTCAAAGACAGACTTTTCTGTAAAGATCAAGAGTTCTAGTGTGGACTGGTATATGAGATAGTTTGGGTAAATCTAGTTTTAATATGAGGTGTAATTCTCACACATGAAAACTTTATTAATGCATATCTTAATTTTTTCAAGTGCTTAGTTTATTCCAAGTATTATAAAATGGTTTATATGTGTTTCATTTGGGCTTGAAACAATCAAATGACAAGCACTATAGTTTTACAAACTTTTAGAATAGAAATTTGAAGTTTAACAACGTTAATAGATTTGCAAGCCATGCGTGGTGGCACACGCTTGTAATCCCAGCACTCAGGAGGCTGAGGCAGGAGGATTATTGCGAGTTCAAGACCAGCCTGGGCTGCAGAAATGAGCTCAAGGCCAGCCTAAACTGTATAGCGAGACCCTGTCTCAAAAAGACAAAAAAATAGATTTGCAAATATAATAAATGTATTACATGGTTAAAATAAACTAAAACCTACACTTCTCTGACAACAGCCTGGTGCTTTTAACAAACAGAACTATAGCTTTCTATAATATGAGAATATGGTGGGATACTCCTTTTAGTATCTAGGATACTCCTTTTAATTCCAGCATTGGGATGTAATCTAACTGGTCTTTAATCACATCAATCATTTAAAAAATCCTCAACATTTTCCATCTTATAAATATATGTGTAAAGGTTTAAACCTCTGTGAATATGCTTTTTACTCTCATTTCCCCAAAATCTCCACATGACGAAATGTTCTAGTGCTCTTCCAGGAAAAGAAATTGTAACTGAAAGAGTTTAATTAAAATCAAGAAAGCTTTATGTGATCCAAATAGCAAAGTGAAAGGAGATAATGGGAAATACAGAAATTCTTTCAAGGTCAGAGCTAATAAAGCATTTCATCTTGGAATAAGAGAACTATTATACTCTGGGAGACATTTGTGAATAGCCACAGCCCTTGAGCTTCTGAAATGCCACTTGAGAACAAATTGCACATTCAACATATCATTCAAACTTAATCATTCAATTTGAAGGACCCCGACTCATTTCTGGAGACAGAAAGCTTTTGTGTTTCTTTTTTCTGTGACTCACTCATGAGTGTCAATAGTCTCTTTTTATACATGTTTTCATCATGCAGTCCATAAATAGTTCTTATCCAATGATATATATGTTATGAACATAAGTAGCAAGTTAGGGTTAAGATTCTATGTTGTACTACTTAGGCTTCACTTTTGGGTACAGTAATTTTTGAGAGCTTTTCATTGATGATAACTTGATAAAATGGCTATATGAGGAGTTAAGATTTCCTTCCCTTTTTACCTCAGAAGAGACTTTTGGTATCAATGAACCTTTCAGCTAATGTTCCTCAGCATTTCATTTAGGGTTGGAGTGTGTGTTGACCCTTTACTTTACCCAACTCTTTATTTCTTTTTTTTTAATGTGGAAGGATTCCCAAATATGGTTCCTTTTAACATCTATCTTTTGCATCAGTCTAGACAATTTTTCCATTTACTAGTAAAATAGTTCAAGTAAGTTGGGAAAAGTTCCCTTTATTACTCTTACAGTACAATTTAGATTTTTAGAACTGATTTTCTACAACTTCCAAAATGTTACTTCTGTCACTACTTTCACATAGGAAACTTTTTTCATATGAGGATAGTAAACTGTAAAAGCATTCAAACATAACATTAAGGTAATTTAAATTATAAAAATTGTTGAAGCTTTTACTAATCATGGATTTGGTTAATCTATAGGTAAGAAAATTCCCCATATATCGTTCACAGTGTACATATTGTTGAAGGAA